AAAAAAAAAAAAAATTCGACATATTTTGAATCAGACTATGCATGAAATGAGGTAATATTCTGTTAACGATCTAATCATATGGCCATATTATTTTTTTTCTAAGTATGTATATTTTCATTAGAAAATATAAGTTTGTAGAAATAACATAAACTAACTTTATAAGTACTCATTTTTGTTGATATAATTTGATTATTCGCGATTTATTGTCACAAAATTATGCCGGTAGATGAGGCTATAGAAGACTCTACTAATGATTCAATAATACTTAGTCATAAAATTATAACCCAAACCAAAAGCGAAAATATTCTAAAGAAATGACTAAAACGGACAATTGAAAATTGAAAATGTGCTTCACATTTCGTGTTTCATTCTGTATCATTTCATATGCCTTCACGTTCAACGAAGAGAAACACGACTACGTACACGAGACCTTAATTTGATTGTTAAACTTAGTCGTGTGCTGTTGAAAATAAACACAAGTTTGTTTGTTGATTGTTGAACTTATCTAGATACTTGTGACGATTCGAAATTCGACATATTGTGAAGTGGACTATTATACGAAACTCGATAATTCTTCTGCTAACGCGTACTTTCCTTACAAAATATCATATTTTACTTACGTAAACAAACTATAACATATATAAGTATGCATTTTTGTTTGACATAATGTGATGGTTCGTCGATTTACTGTCACAAAGTAATGCGGGTAGAAAGAGGCTATAGTAGACTCTACTAATGATTGTGAAATCAGAATCTTAGCCCATAATAACTACATATAACATTCAAAACTAACTAAAATTCAGATAATTTGTCAGCTTTCATTAATTAATTTATCTTCTCACATGTAATACACAAGATACCATCTCTATCCTTTGCACCTAATGGCAAGTATAACAAATTTTATGCTCAATCTATACAGTACACAACAATAGCAAAATCCACACTCCAAGTCACAAAACAAAATTAGTAAAAATTAAGGGCCAAAAAAATAAATAAATAAATACTTTTTCTTAAAGGTAAAGCTCAGGGCTTTAGTTGGCCTTATGTAGCTCTCTAGCATTTTATTTATTTATTTATTTATTTTTTCATATGCTTTATATATTATTATGTACAACAAATTAAAAATTTCAAGTCTTTTTCAGTATATTGCTTTTAAGCTTTGGTCTGCACCAAACCAGCAGCAAAACAGATGGCTTATGCAAAAACCATAATCTTGACCCCATACTATAAAAATGTCTAAACATGTTTACTTTCTTCCATGTCATAAAAAACTTACAAAAAAAGTTGAGCACATTTTTTTTTTTTTCTTTTACTCGAAGATAGTCGAAATTCGAGCTCTCGACAAATGGGGCTACGGAACATTTTTCGATCGGCTGTTTCTCTACTTCTCGTGTTCCTTTACGTCTCGACTCCAACCAATGCTGCAGTGAAGAAGTACCAATTCAACGTTAGTAATTAAACGAAACATGTTAATCTCAACAGTTCGTGTTAGTGATCGATTGAAGTTAATGACGATACATTTTTTTTTTTGGATTTTGTATTTTGTATTTTTTTCAGATTCAAGTAAGCAGTGTGAGCAGATTGTGCCATGCGAAGCCGATCGTCACGGTTAACGGACAATTTCCGGGCCCCACCGTGTACGCCCGAGAAGGCGATCGTGTTATAATCAACGTCACGAATTTCGCGCAGTACAACATGTCAATTCACTGGTAAAATAAGAAAAATTAATACATTTGTTCCATCTTCAAAAGTAACTCGACCGTGTTATTTTTGCGCTGTATCGCGTTTTTATTTTCTATTTATTATTATTATTTTTTTTCGGGTAGGCATGGATTGAAGCAATATCGCAACGGTTGGGCAGACGGGCCCGCATACATAACTCAATGCCCGATTCAAACGGGCCGAAGCTACACTTATGATTTCAACGTGACGGGACAAAGAGGAACTTTGTGGTGGCACGCGCACATCTTGTGGCTGAGAGCCACCGTTTATGGCGCGATCGTAATAATGCCCGAGCAAGGAAAACCGTATCCTTTTCCGCAGCCCGATTTCGAACACAACCTAGTATTAGGTACAATCTTTTTTACACAAGTGTTTGGCGATTTTTTGGGTTTCATAAGTTCTGTTTTTGAACACGTTCTGTGCTCGAAAAAAAAAAACAGGGGAATGGTGGAACGAGGATGTCGAGACCCTCGTCAAACAAGGAGAAAAGCTCGGTGTTCCACCGAAACTCTCGGATGCGCACACGATCAACGGCAAGCCGGGCCCACTCTTCCCATGCTCCGAGAAATGTAATGACGAAAAAAAACTCACAATGCCTTCGAGTTTTGCACTCTTTATTCCGGCCAGTCTATCGATTTTATAGCCAAGAAGCAAATGCAAAGATGAAATAGAGCCACTTTTTGTAGAAGTATAAGACAAAATGATACAATTACCCTTACTATCAAAAACTAATAAAACGTTCAAAAAGAGATTTTTGATAGTAAGACTAATTGTGTTATTTTCACGTGCAAAATTTGACTATTATTTCATACTTCCATGCTAAAAAGTGACTATTTTTTTTATTCTTTTTAAAAGCTACTGGCCATTTAGTAATATTACTACTGTTCCTGTCGTCTCACGAACGATTTTTCCCCACATTTTTAATGTATAGATACTTACGCGATCGAAGTCGAGCAAGGCAAAACGTACCTACTCCGCATCGTCAACGCGGCACTCAACGACGAGCTCTTCTTCGCGGTCGCCGGCCACACGCTGACGGTCGTCGAAATCGACGCCGCCTACACGAAGCCCTTCCCGA